CATCAGCCACCTGGCCCTGGCTAGAGTTTGGAAAATGGGGGGATGAAGTTGGGGCAGGAACCTAGATATCCTCTTCTGTGCAAGCAAGCTGTGCTGGTGCTCTTGGTTTACCCTGGAGTTAGGTATGGCAGAGGCCTCAGGTAGGAGGGGTTCCTGCCCTGACCACGAGGGGAGAAATACCACAGAAAAGGCTACTTGGAGGACCAGGTGGGATGGAGTTGAGGGGGGCAGGTCCGATGCTCTCTGAGTCCCCTTTGAGTCTTGAGCATTTTGTCCTTGTATTTCCAGCATTTAGTACAGATCCTGGCACAGCAGATATGCTGAATAAATGCTCACTGATAGCCTTTCTGGGCCTTCTTAAGCAAGGTATTCCTAACTGTCTCTGGAGCCAGGCAGGGTAGATGAGGGAACAATTTAATAATAACTCCTTACTCAAGTGTGCTTATGAAGCAAAAAAAAAAACAACTCTGTCATAGACATTCTCTTATCTGATCATCATAGGATCACTTAGAGTTCAACTCTATTTTACATATGAGGAAATTTGAGACCCAGAGAAGTGATGTGACTTGCTCAAGGTCACATAGCAAGTTAGCAGAAGAGCTGGAGCTAAAATCCAGGTCTCCTGACTCCTGATCCGATGTTTCCATGGTACCATGTGGCCTCTATATATACACCCACTGGCTTGTGACCATGATATAAATGTAGTATATCACACCCACCATGTGATACCATCCGCAAAGTGGCCTATCCAACCCCAGGAAATTCAGGGAGGGACAAGGGATAAGGAATACTGGCTTAAAGAGAAGAGATTTTCAAGCCCTAGAGATGCCAAGCCTTTAGACATAACCTCAAATTTGGAAGGACCTGGGCTGGAGAAAGAGCTAGGCAAAGCAAATCTTTGGTTTGAGCTATTTGAGTAAGGAATTAGAGGAGAAGGGAGGCTCTCCTATGCCCAGGGATGACTTGCTTAAAGGAAAGCCCTGTTTCCCCTCTCAGGGGCCCTCTCGATTCTACTGGGGCAACGTCCTTGCTCTATGCTCAGTTCTCTCTGGCTAGGAAAGTCCAGGCAGAATAAAGAGGCCAAAGAATTGGACAGAGAGCCTCCCAAGGGCCCTTCCAGCTGGAACACGGTATGACTCAATCCATACAAACCTCCTAGGTCCATTCCATGAAGCAGCCCTGTGACCAGAGCTTTGGTCCCCACCTCACCCCCCCCTTAGAGGGTGTCAGAAATGTGGGTGTAGGAACCAAGGCAGGGGTGACCTCCAGAGAAGATCCTAGGGGACAAGAACATTAGGGTTTGCTTGTTTGCATTCTAGGGATCCTTGAAACACTGGGAAGGTGGTCTCAGTGGGAGAAGGAGGCCCAGGTTGGGGGGGGGGAGGTCAGACAGCTCCCCAGATTGGAGAGTCAAAAGGGACTTTAGTGGCCATCAAGACCCAGTGTTGGGCAGTATTGAGAGACAACTTGTGAGGGGTGGTCCTGGTTTAATGGGGAGAGAAACTTGGGCCAAGAATTAGGGTATTTAGTCTTATTCTCCTACCGCTCAACCTTCTAGCTACTGAGGAAGTAGCTGCAAAGGTGCTGAGGTAGGGCCAGTGCAGACACATGTACACGGGTTAAGGGGCTTTAGTCAGAGTAATTGACTGGGTTGAGAAGTGGGGAGATGATTTTAGCAGCAGCAGCAGCAAAGGCTCTGGCCTTCCTGTGCCTCTCTCTCCCCCCAGCTGACCTGAGGCTGGGAGAGGATGCTGGGCTAGGGGCCCTGGTGAGTAGGAGTTTGTGGGCCAAAGGTCCCCTCTAGAAGAAAAGGCCCATTGTTCCCGTGGGGGGTCGGGAGGGGGAAGTCCTGGGCCACCTCCTCTTTGGGGCCCCCTCTTCCCCACTGCAGCCCTGGGGGCCTGTAGAAAGTCTTTGCCTAGGTCTATGTGTGAGACAGGCCAAGCCAGGCCTGAGCCCTGATCATCCTGTTTCTCTCCCTCTTTCTGGGCAGCTTTTACAAGGCTTTGCGGAAAGCTTTATCCCCCACTTCCCTCCCTTTCCTCAAGTTGCATTCTTGGGACCTGACCCACAGGCCAGTGGCAGTGTCCACTTTGCGTGGTCTGGGGGCAGGGAGTGGCTAGGGTTGGGTTGTCCGAAGAGGTGGGATGAGGGTCAGCTCAGGCAGCTGGCCCCAGGAGAGAGTTCAGCTCCTTCCTTCTAGCCCAGGTCAGGATCTTCGAAGCTGGGAGTTTAAAAGCAAGCCTAGTCTTCACTTTACTGTTTCCTAGTGTAGATTTCTTTTGGTTTCTCACTAGGCCTCTCTTATCCCATCTGTAATGTGGAGGAGGTCAGGCCAGAACTTAGGAGCATTGTCACTTGATTCCATTTTAATGGGGGTGGGAGTGGGAGGTGGGAGTGGAGGGGCTTATTTACTTATTTGATAGATTGTCAGTGAATTGAAATAGTATTGATCTTGAAGGCAGGAGCACTTAGGATCATAGATTAGATTTAAAAACAGGAACAGGCCTTAGAGGTCATCTAATCCAGCCCTTTTATTTGACAGTTGAGGAAACTGAGGCCCAGAGAGGTCAAGTGATTTGCCCGTCGTCACCCAAGGAGAAAGTAACTGAGACAGGATTTGGCATCAAATGTAGTTTTCTTTCCTTTATATGAATGTGTTATGTAGCCCCAGCTGGGTTACAGCTGGCTAGACTGGCTAGCCTCTGGGGATTCTTCCTGTGGGTTCTGGTCCCAATCCTTCCATTTCCCTGTATGACCTTGAAAAGGCAGCTTCCCCCTCTCTGGGGGTTTTCTCATCTACAGAATTGGAGCGGGGGGGGGGGGGGGGGGGGGGGGGGGGGGGGGGGGGGGGGGGGGGGGGGAGAGGTCAGATTAAGCCATAAACCTGGAGCCAGGTTAAGAGGGATAGATTTCAGGGAGCCCATGAACCTGGGGTGGGGAAAAAAATTACACCTTTATTTTCACTGACCCTTAACTAAAACTTAACATATTCCTTCCATTATGAACATAGGCAACAATTCCTGGTTCCGAGAAGGGGTAGCTAGGCCTCACCAGGTGATGGAGTTCATGGCACAAAAAAAGTCATTAGTCTTACATCTAGATGGTCTGCAAGGGCTGCCCAGCTCCAAGGCTCAAGGATTCTATAAAGAGGACCATCTCATCACAATCCACTTAGGCAAATCTCTTCAGCTCCCCGGACTTTTATTTGTAAAAAGAGCTGGGGGAGGGGGGGTGGTTGTAGTGAGGGATCCTGAGTTGGCAGCTGTTTTTTCTCTGCCTCCTAGCCCCAGACTCCATCAGGGAAGGAGAGAAAGCTCCCCTGGTACCAGTTAGGACCAGACTAGTCCAGAACTGGAAATCTGAGGCAGGAGAAAGTAACAAGTAACTTGGGGCTGTAAAGCTTGTGGACCTGCAGCACTCCTGAGTGCAGCCTGAACCAGATGGAAATGTAATTGGGAAATATTTGGCAGAATATTGCAGTAGGACATAGATAATGTTAACATGTGATTTTCTAAGTCAGCATGCGGCTTGCAGAGATCCTTATGGACCATCTCTATTTAAGTTTGTCACCATTGGACTAGAAAGAATTAGGACACCTGGGCCTGCCCCAAAGATTCTCATCTGTCATTCTTCTTCTGTAGTGATTAATAATTAGTGAGAGTGATCTCGGTCTTCTTCATTGAATGTGTCTATTCCTTGTGTTTAGGGACTTGTGGGGTGGGAGGAACCATTATCAGGGGCCTCCTAGTTCTCAACCTCATACCCATGATTGTAAAATGCCCTGTGATCAGCTGCAGAGCAAGGTAAAGGAGAGAGGTCACAGACACAGTAGTAAGTCCACAACACCCATTTACTAGCTAGTCCAGCCCTTTCAGGTTCAGAGTTGGGTCTAGAACCCACATCTCCAAACTTTCTTCATTATACCATTGAGCTGAAATATTCAAGGAAGCTTTCCTGGACTGTGAGTAGGTTGGGGAGGGGTACCCGTTAGGCAGCGAAGATGGACGCTGAAGTGTGCGAGGTGAATTGGGATAGAATGATGAGTCTGCTGGAAAGAAGGTTATGCTTTCCTTGTATAGGATCTTGAGTTCCCCGCAGGTAACTTTGGGTTTTACCACGGATGTAATGGGGAAGCTCGGAAGGTTCTTGACAAACAAATAGCATGATAAGAACTTTGTTTGAAGACAAGTGATCTGGCTGCAAGCAGTGGGGGGGGGGGACAGATGTGTGGCTGGGAGTTCTGGGTGTGCACCAAAGTTTCCTGGCTTGCCTGAGTCTAAGAGGAAGGTTGGGGTTCTCATTCCCATGCTCTCTTCTCAGCAAAAGCCTGGCCGGCTTGGTTGCTCTGGTAACTAGGCCTGTCTTATGTCTGGGAACAGAGCTGGGAGAAACAGGATGGGGCAAAGAACTGCAAGCTTCTGACTATTCAGCCCAGGAGAGAGGAGAGCCTTCAGCTGGAGCTGAAGCTATAGCTTCTGCCAATGCTTTGGGAAAGGACTGAAGCCTGCAGGGTGGTGTTCAAGCAAAGCATACTGGGTTTGGAGGCAGGGTGCTCTGTTTCCAGTGTTTGTTCTGCTACTCTGCCCAAGTAACCTTGGGTGAGTCTCTTCTCTCTGGGGTCTGTTTCCTCACCTGTAAAAGGAGGTAATTGGACTAACTTGTGTTCCTTCCAGTTTTAATCAATCTCTCATCCTTCTTCCCCTTCTTCTCCTCCTCTCCCCTCTTGGAGATTATCTGGATATGGGTGGGTATGGAGGATTGCATCCAAGGCCACCAGGATGGACAGAGTAGGTCAAGGTTGGAAGTTGGGGGAGGGGATTGCTGAGGCTCTGGAGGCAGCTGGTCCCTTCCTGCCCAGGTGTGGAAGAAGGGGTAGGAGAGATTACAAAGTCCCTCACGAAAGGAAGCTGTTGCTTCCAGATCTCTCCTGGAGAATGGTCCCTCCTCTTCCTCCTCAATTGACAGTGCTCTCCCTCCCTGCACACTCCCCCTTACAGAAGATGCTCATGAAGCAACAAGACCGTCTAGAGGAGCGGGAGCAGGACATTGAGGACCAGCTCTACAAACTGGAGTCTGATAAGCGGCTGGTGGAGGTACGCCAGATGGCTTCAGTCACCCTGCAGACCATGAGAACAGGGGCGCAGGGAGCGGCCCCGTCCCAGGCGGGCCACAGCCAGCAGTTTTGCATTAGCTTCTGTGTGTGTGTAGAACCATGTCAGGCTACAGAGGAAGACAGGGGGTCTGTCTTTGCTTCCAGACAGGCACGTGGGACAAGCAGGGTAAGACAGGATGGGATAGAATCTGTCCTAAGTTGTTATCTCTGTAGGCAAGGGAGAGGTTATTGGGCTGTTCAGGCATCTGAGCAGGCTTTCCAGGGAGGGGAGGCTTGAGCTAGACCTTGAAGGGTGGGCAGGACCAGGGAGTGGGAAGGAGTGACAGGGTGCGGACCACGGGGCCTCTTTGTCTCGGGTTGCAGGAGAAGGTGAGCCAGCTGAAGGACGAGGTAAGACTGCAGTATGAGAAGCTGCACCAGCTGCTCGATGAGGACCTGCGGCAGAGCATGGAGATCCTGGACAAGGCCCAGGCCAAGTTCTGCAATGAGAACGCGGCGCAGGCCCTGCATCTCACCGAGCGCATGCAAGAGGCCAAGAAACTGCTCAGCTCCGTGCAGCTGGTCTTTGACAAGACGGAGGACATCAGCTTCATGAAGGTGGGTGAGGGGGCAGGGAGAGTCATCAGGGAGCACGGGGGAGAGGCAGAGGCAGGCAGGCAGAAGAGTTAGGGTGACTGAGAGTCTTGGAGTCACCGTTCTGGGAGCTAAATCACAGACCCCATGATGAGGGAGGATGGAAGGAAACGAAACACGCGTTTCTTTATACACTTACACAGAGAGCAGGCACCGTGCTTAGCACTTTTTACAAATGTTAGTTCATTTGATCCTCATGACAACCCTCTGAGGTAGGTGCTATTATTTTACAGTTTAGGAGACTGAGGCAAACAGATTAAATGACATGCCCAGGGTCACATAGCTAATAAGTGTATGAGGCTGGATTTAAACTCAGGTCTTCCTAACTCTAGGCCCAGTGCTCTAACACTGTACCACCAGCTGCCCAAGGCTCTAGGGGAGTGAGTTCTAAAACAGAAAGGCACCGATCAGTACTGAGGCTAGATCTGAGCTTGGCTGAATTGGTGTGGATATCTCAGGGGAGGCACTCCCCCCAACCTCCTGGTACTCCTCCCGGGGTTTTGGCCTGTAGTCCCTCATCAGTTCTTTCCATACGCGCAGCCTGGAGCTTATGTGAAGAAGGGCATCCCTGCCTGAGGGACAGGGAAGGGTCCCACCTAAAAGAGCAGCCGTGGAGTGGGGATGCTTGAGCTTTACTTTGTTGCACTTTTTTTTACTCTTTCTCTAGAATACCAAGTCCGTGAAGATCCTAATGGATAGGTAAGCACACATCTTTGCTTCCAGGGGCCAAGAATGGAGGCAGGGGAAGCAGGTCCCTTCAAGGCCTTGGGCTGGAAATCTGGGAATAAGTAGGTCCCAGGTGGGGCAAGGCACCTTACAGTGGATAGATACCTACCTGTCATCCCCCCCCCCCTCCCCAGGACTCAGAGTTGCACAGGGGGCAGCCTCTCGCCTCCCAAGATCGGCCACCTCAACTCCAAGCTGTTCCTGAATGAGATCTCCAAGAAGGAGAAGCAGCTGAGGAAGCTGCTGGAAGGTAAGGACAGGTCCCCTGATGCAGCCAGGTGGTAGTGCTGGGGGGGCCCTCTCCCTAAGCACCCGGAGGGCTCAGGCACAAGGATGAGAGGCCTCACTCTCTGGTTCCTCCTCTTTGGCTCAGCCTCCCATCCAGTAATTTTTTAGCACCTTCACGGATCACAGTCAGCCTTTCTTCCTCCCCTGAAGCCGCTGCTGACCTCAGTTTGCATTCTCTTCCACAGGCCCCTTTAGCACCCCGGTGCCCTTTCTGCAGACAGTCCCACTGTACTCATGTGGCGTGAACAGCAGCTCTGGAGCAGAGAAACGAAAGCACCAGACAGCCTTTCCTGAGGCCAGCTTCCTGGAGTCCCCAGGCCCTGTAGGGAGCCAGTTCGTGGGCCAGCCGGCCTCAGCCGGGGAGGGCCAGTCGAGCCAGCTGGGGCCCTGTAGCTCCACTCAGCACCTGGTGGCCCTGCCAGGGGGGGCGCAGCCTGTCCATTCAAGTTCGGTGTTCACATCGTCGCACTACCCTAACGGCGCCGCTGCACAGCAGCCCGTGCTACCCCAGTATGGGGGCCGCAAGATCCTCGTCTGCTCCGTGGACAACTGTTACTGTTCCTCCGTGTCGAACCACGGCAGCCACCAGCCCTATCCCCGTTCTGGCCATTTCCCCTGGACAGTGCCCTCGCAGGAGTATTCACACCCACTCCCACCTGCCCCCTCTGTCCCGCAGTCACTCCCAGGCCTGGCTGTCAGAGACTGGATAGATGCCTCCCAACAGCCTGGACACCAGGATTTCTACAGGGTGTACGGCCAGCCGTCCACCAAACACTACGTCACAAGTTAACACCGGGGCTAGGTGGGGAGGCTGGGGGGGCTGTTGGGCCCCCCCAAGTCAGCCCCTCAATTATGCAGCCCCTGTTCTTCCTCTTTCCTTTGATGGCTTCTCTCCCCTTCCTCCCATTTTCTTTCAGTTTTTATTTTCATTTTCTTGGGGGGGGGTTTTATACAAATCTGCTGGAAGCCAAGAAGATCACCGGACTTGGGGGTCTGGGCTGGGGCTCTCTGTAGCTTCGAAGGTGCCTCACTCCAAGAGGGGTGTGTCTCTCTCTCTCTCTTTTTCTCTATTCCCCTCCTTACCCCTCTTCCTTGGGCCCCCCCTCCGCTGGAAGGATCTGTGGTGCCCCCCCTTTCACCCCCAACCCCCAGCCTGGCTGTGGCTGGAGGGGCTGGTGCCTGCTGGGCTGACTCTACCTTCAATTTTTTTGGGGAAGGTCAATCACTGATTCAGTAAGAGATGACCCGTAGATTGTGTGTGTTTTTTTTGTTGAATTTTTTTTTAAGCCAAGAATGATTTTTTTTTCCCCTTCCCTTTCCCTGAGTTCAAAGGCCACTTCTCACACAGCTTTTGGCATCTTCTGGGCACAGAGCAGGATCTATGGATGTAATGAAATAACAGGAGCCCTCCATGCCCTCATGCCCTGGACAGGGGGAGAGGAAGGGACTCTGACCACAGGCCTGGACTCTGACAATGATGACAAATACCAATAATAATGAGAGAGAGGCCTAGTTGAGATCTTGGGGATGAGGGTGGGGGCAGGGCTGTCCTGCTCTCACTCCTTTCCCAGATTTTGACGATGCAACTTCCTGTAATGAGCACTTTGTATAAAACGTGGACTTCCTGTTCTAAAGGCACAGGTATTTATTCTGTAACCCGTTTTAGAGCACACACCCAAATCCAACCTTCTAATAAACGTGATGGCAGACTTCTGTGACTGCTCCTCCTGATGCCCCAGCCCCACCAGCCTCCTTTTCCCTGGGGCTTCCCAGTGAACTGGGGTGGCCTAGGGAGAGAAGGGGAGAGGCTGATTTGAAGGCTGCTTGCCTGTACCAATGTACTTCTTAGAACTAACCAGTCAGACGAGAGAGAAGGATTTTGAGAGTTCGTGGCACGAAAAGGGTTAAAAAAAAAACAGCTGGCCTAGTGAAAAGAGCCAATGGGAATGTGTAGACCTCGGTTCCAGGGAGGGTCTCCTGCCTGCCTGTGACTCAGTGTGTGACCGTGGGCAGATCACCTTGCCCTTCTCTATGCCCCAGCTCCCCCATCTATAAAATAAGGGGATTAGACTGGTGGGTGATCCCATGGAACACAAAACCATTCTTTCCCACCTTGCCCCCCAAAAAGAGAGCCCTCATTCTGAACATGTCAGCTAGAGGGGAGGGTGTGTGATTTGTTATTGGGGGACAGAAAATAAGAGTGGATGGCCTCAGGAGATTGTGGGCCTCGCCTGTCATCTTGTGAAAGGCGGATGACCGCTTGTCTGCTGTGTCGTTGATGCCCTCCAATTCAGAGATTCCATGAGATTTCATTTCCTTCTTGTCCCTGGTGCGGTTAGTTTTGGGTTGGAAGAGGGGAAAGCTGCTGCCACCTGTACATTGCTACAGGATGGAGGCCAGAGGCTCTCGGGTTTGGCAGGTGTTGGTGCTACAGTCAATGCATCTGGAAACAGGTTGGGTTCTCCCTGCCACTTAACACATTTATCAGTCTCCCTTTCTCCTCCCTCCACCAAAAAACAAAAATACCACAAGACCGCTAGCTAGATTGAAGATCTGGGTATTGTTGGACCCTGAGATCCCTAGTCTATCCAGCTGAGCACTGGGCCCAGAGAAAGCCCCTTGTCTAAGGCCACCTCCTGGCCTGCTCTGAGTCAACCCACCCCAACCCTCTCATACACCCCTTTCTCAGTGCAGTACTGATCCTCTCAGGGCCTCCTTAGGCTCTGACTCAGTACAGGCCTCAGGGCTGGACCCAGATTTGGTGGGGGAGATGGACACACACCCAGACCAGCTGGGCTAAGAGAGGACCCAGGCAGTCTGGCTCTTGGCCAAAAAGCTCCACCCTTTCCTGTGGGGCTGAAGGGATGACTCAGGGTTTGGGGGTGGGGAGGGGAGCAGAAAGGAAGTGTGGGAACTATTGGCCTGCCCCATCCTTCCACACCAAGAAACAGCTCTCTTGGAGAGTATTTGGTGGGGCCCCAGGGAATGGTCCCTAAAGCTGGCCGTGGGGAATAGTGAACACATAAATTCATCCAGCTCTTAGCACAGTACCTGGCACATAGCAGCTACTTAATTTGATTGGTCTTCCCCCTCCCACTCAGGAGTAGGGGGAAAAGTCAGTTTCACTCCCCACTTTTTGTCCCATTTCACCTGTTTTTTACACATTTGGGGGCTAATCTGAGCCCATGCCATTAGGAACTTCTCTTGGGGGCTCCTTTCCCAGCCCTTATGCTGCTCCCTAGAAAGTATGGGACAGCTGTAAGGATGAGGGGAAGATCCAAAGGGATTGCATTTACTTCCTCCTCTCTCTCCAGCTGCTCTCTTCATGGGAAGAAAGGATCCTGTGCATTCGAAGGCCAGCTGTCATGGGTGGAGGACTACCCATAATAGGGGAGAGGGTCCTACTAAGTAGGTTCTGCCCTTGGCCCTACAGCCCACAGGATAGATATATACCAAACTCAACAGTTTTGCCAGATCTCTAGCTCAAGAGGAAGGGGGAGGGGATTTATATCTTCCTCAGCAAGGAAGGGTAGCTCCCTCCTATACACAAGCCTGGAGAGCCCAAGCAACCTGTAAGAGACCAGCACCCTAACTTCATACGGCTACCTGCCCGTCACACACACCCCACAGAAACACAAGCACATGCTCAGCGGGACTTGTAAGTTTGCAAAGGACTCTGCTTACTCCCTCCTGTCAAGTATGTATTAACCCAATTTTACATATGAGGAAAAAGACAGTTTGATTGGTTTACCCGTGGTTGCCCAGATAATATCAGAGATGGCATCTCAACCCAGACCTCCCTGATTCCAGGTCCAGTGCTTGATCTGCTGAGCCAGTGAGGTCTCTTTCCTCTCCTCTCCTTCCTCTTCCACTTGACCATGAAAGGGAGATACTTCTGTTACCCAGATGTGCCAGGGGAGAGGGGAAGGGGGGGCGGAGTTGATATCTTCATCTATTGATGCCAAGCTTTTCTGTGTTTGTGCCCATCTTCAGCTCAAAGGGTTTAGGGGATGACTAAAGGGGGCTCACTCTACAGTCATATCTTCCCCAGGTTGCCAGCTGCCTCGGGTGGAGCTGGCAGCTGGGGAGCAGCTGTGGGGAGGGATTCTAGAGACCAGAGCAACAGACTCCACCCCAAAGAAAGCTGAAACTTGTGGGGGGAGAAATCTAGCGTGGAGAGACAGAACCACACCTTCGGCTCTCCAAACCCCATCCCTTATCTAAGCAATTGGAGGGGGCCCCCAAAGATCAAAGTCACCCCCAGTCCATTGCCAGTCTCATTCAATGAGTCCAGTCCCGGAAGAGGAGGGGAGGGGGGAAGGAGAAGGCAGGGGGATGGGACATAGCTTGAAAATAGACACCCTGTGACACACTCATTCACTTACTCATAGGCACACCCAGTGATGCACTCATACTGACACACAGACTCTGCCAGCCATACTCAGTGACACAGTCACACGCATAGTCACATCCACTGACACACCCAGCCTCCCTCACACACTTACATGTAAGTGTAATACACCCATCCCTCACTTTCCTCAAAAATATATCACTTCCCCTCCTGACCAGACCCCTCTAAATCCATCTCCCTCAAGAGCAGTGGAAGCTCTGAGGCCCAGCTGAGGTCATTCCAAACTGCCCCTGCCTCCCAAACCAGGCCCACTGTGGTCTCTGGAGGAGACAGTCTGGTCCAGTGAAGGGTGGGAGGAAAGTCAGCTGGAGAGCCCAGTACACAGTCAGTCACTTCAAATCGCTGGCCTTAGCTTTCCCCTCTGTGGAGTGACAAGAGCAGTGGTGGATGAAACAAAATATTTCCTTTTTTGTATGTTTGCCAACTATTTCTTTCACTTGCACGATAGTCCAAAGGGCATATTTCATATTATTTAAAAACCCAACTGCTGAATACTCTCCGCCCGTAGGGGCTTCAGACCTCAGAGGGTAGTAAAGAGCAAGAATACTGTAGGGGGTTGAAGGTGGATTAAAAATTGGAGGTCATTTTTGTCCCAGAGCTCAGAGTGAGTGTGGAGGAGAAAGCACTGGTTCTGGAGTCTTTCTGACGTGCTTTTCTAGCAAGTTCTAATCCTGCTCCCCACCCCACCCCTTTACCTCTGTAACCTTGCTGGGACTCAGTTTCTTAATCTGTAAAATGAGGGGATTAGCCCAGATAATCCCTCTTTCAGGACTGATACTCTGTGATCTTCTCCATCTTTTCCCAGGTACTGTGCACAGAATCACAGAACTGAGAGGGGAAGTGACTTTGGAAACCACCTAGCCCAACCCGTACCTGCACAGGACTTCCCTCTCCAACACACCTGACAAGTGGCCATTCAGCCTTTGCTCGAAGGCCCTCAGGGAGAGGGAACCCATGTGGTGTAGGACCATGAATGTAGCAATGAAAGAGATTTCAGAGAACCTTCCAACTCCTTCGCTGCTCCTGAGGAAACCAGAACCTGGACAAGAAAAGTGACCTGCCCGAAGTCATGCCATGTGTAGTTAGAGGCAGCTCCCACTTCTGGAGAACTGTAGTTCTTAGGACAGTTTTCCTCACATGAAGATGCCCACACTTGCCTCTTCCAGACATCCACCCATTACTCCTCCTTCTCTCCTAAGAGGCTAAGGAGAATAAATTGAATCCCCTTTCCACATGAGTGCTTTAAATACTGGAGCACAGCTATCCTCAGATACCTCCATCCCTACCCACAAGTCTTCACTTTATCCAGGCTCAAGACACCCATCCCTTCAACCAGGAGTGCTGTGGATAGAGTTCTGGGCTTGGAGTCAGGAAGACTCATCTTCCTAAGTTCAAATTACTAGCTGTGTGATCCTGGGCAAGTCACTTAACCTCATTTTTCTCAACTGTAAAATGGGGATCATAATAGTACCTACCTCTCAGGGTTGTTGTGAGGACCAAATGAGATAATTTTTGTAAATGCTCGGCACAGTTCTTGGCTCATGTTGTCAGTCATGCCCAACTCTTCATAACCCCATTTTGGGGTTTTCTTGGCAGAGATACTGGAGTGATTTGCCATTTCCTTCTCCAGCTCATTTTACAGATGAGGAAACTGAGGCAAGCAGGCTTAAATGACCTGCCCAGGGTCACACAGCTAGTAAGTATCAGACTGGATTTGAACTCAGGTCTTCCTGACTCCAGGTCTGGCACTCTATCCACTGTATCACTTAGCTGTCCCTCTTGGCACCTAGTATGTGTTTAATAAATGCTTATTACCTTTCTTCAACTGTTCCTAAAATGGCATGAACTTGAGCCCCCATTCTAGTTGCTCTCTTCAGGATACTCGCTACCTTTCCTTAAATGTAGTATCTAGAACTGAACACAATATTCTAGATGTTTTCATCGTCTGAACAGATGAGGGTATGCAAGACTATTACTTTCCTCTTCCAGGACACTTTACATTTCTCCAAACAAACTGCATTATCTTTGGAGGCTGCATTGTTCACTCAAATTGAATTTGAGACCCACTAAAACACCCAGATCTTTTCCAGATGAACTCTTGTGTAGTCATAGCTCCTCCTATCTGGTACTTGTGAAGTGATATTTTGGACCTTAGCATCAGACTTTATATTTATCTCTATTAAATTTTTATCTTACTGAATTCAGTGCAGTGCTCTAGCCTGTTGAGCTCTTTTTGGACTTTGAATCTGTCATCTGAAACAATTATCTCTCCTGCCTTTGTGCCATCAGCAAATTCGATTAG